TCATCCATTTGTTTCGATGGTAAATTGGTATTTGGTTAAACCATCAGCTTGCTTGTAAGCAGCCATTGAAAGAGAGAGCCATCAAAAACCTTGCCAACTGGTGGTTGTTGCTGGCATTTGCTACCACTGGAGTTACTTCTCGAATACCTTCTCCTCTTATGGAAGACAAATACAAACGGATTTGGACCTTGACTTTTGACTTGGTCTTGGTCTGTAAATGTAGCGAATTCCCTTACTTCTTTGCATTCATTCTTTTTCATTAAACTCGCAGTATTTGATTTCTCAGTCATGAAAGTTGTCACTATCTGTGATTGTGATACTCCGCTCCTTCCCTTTACTGGAAAGTAGCCCAAGTGACAGCAAATGCCAACGACAACCACCTACTCGCAAGACTCTTTTAAGTATTGCTTAGGGACAAGTTGATGGCGGTTTGAAGTGCAAAAGAAGTATAATAAATTACCGGAAATAGTTCCATTTCCGTTTATTCTAAAGTGCCATTGTCTGCATTCTTATATTTATTCAATAAATTGCTCTGAAGCTTCTTTCTCTGGGCTGCAGTTAGGCTAAGCAGTTAGAATGCAGCGAGGTCTAAAAACTTATTTTTGGCTAATAACATCCTATCATTTAATGAATTTTCAGTTTATTTATTTGAAGTTTTTCAATTTTTCCAATTCTCAAGTACTTCCGGTTTTTTTTTGGGTTTCCTAGTTACGCATGCGCGTTTCATGATTTTCGAGCTGTAGAACTGAAGCCCCAAAAGTACTTTTTCAGCTGTTGCAGCCGCAGGCTGCCGAATTTGAAAAGGAATGGCTGCCGATTCGCAAGCAACAGGTAGCTTCTAATCTTATTAGTCTGACAGTTACTTGCTCAGAATCCATTCCTTGTTTTATTGCATTTGATACTAATTGTATCAGGTGGTGGGTACTAGCTGGAGGTATGGAACCTACAACCGATGGACCTGGCATGGCTTCGTTCATTTAGGAGTTGCACAGAAAAAGAAGCAAGCGGCCTTGTTGAGCAACGATATGCTAGTTGAGAGGCGTTATCAGTCCGCTCGCTCGAGATGATCTGTGCCAGATGCTCACCAATAACTCTTTATTCAAAATAACAGTGTTGATAAGAACAATTTACAAAACGTGCCAAAAAATACCGACGCAATCGAACTATTCGCAAAGAAAACAGAGCCAACAATCATTTGCTAACACAAGTATTCACCTTTCGGCAACGGAAGCATTTCAGTAAAACCCTAATACGAGAGTACCCATGCTGATTGTCCGACTGTCTTGGTACTTCCAGTACTAGTTATTTCCTCTTCATCTGGGGACTGTTCAAAGATAACTGAACTTGGATGATTTGTTTCCTCAACAGCTTTTTTACTTGTGAGAAAAAAAAGTGCTTAAAACACTGTTTCAGCCTTACTGGGTTCCACACGGTTCAATTTGGCACTCATTGGATTTTTGGGCTGTGTTGTTATCTATGCGCTGCGTAGCGATGTCAGTTTTGCAATTGTCTGCATGGTAAATAGTACCGCGGTCGATCTTCTGGCCGGCAACACCAAGAGTAATGTCAGCAAACACACAACATGTCAAATTCGTGATGATCCCGCTGATACATTGAATAGCAAAAAAGACGTCGTTAGTTTTTCCTAAATTATTTTCAAGATCATTTAAAATAATGTGAGATAATCCGAGGGTATGGCCGGCATGTTGACCACTAGACGATACAGTACTGGTCAAAAAAACTGTAAGAAGTGCCAGCTGCATAGCTCAAAAAAAAACGCGGCTGATCAAGGTATTAAAGTATTTTGGAAGCATGTCAAGAAGCCACCTACTCTCTTGGTTTTGAAGAGCTCTGAAATCTCTAGCTTGGAAATAAGCATGAAAAATCGAGTTGAGAAACTAAAAACTCAGCTGGAGCATAAACACAAGCCAGAATTCTTAGCCGATGAGGAACGAAAACTTAGCGGTATAGGTTCGATGTGAAGCTGAACAGTACAAACTGCTTCTCAAAACAAAAAGTTAGGTTTAGGAAAATCCAAATTCTG